AGAGAGAGAGAGAGAGAGAGAGAGAGAGAGAGAGAGAGAGAGAGAGAGAGAGAGAGAGAGAGAGAGAGAGAGCACGGCGTGCATACAACATTGGCTGATCACATAGATACTTAGAAACACAAAATACATTGGCTGATCACATAGATACTTAGAAACACATAGATACTTAGATACTTAGAAACACAGGATTTCGAGAAATTCTCATGAAAACAGATCATCAGGACATCATTTCGTTAGAGAAGTGCAGACTCTGCAGAGTTCTCAGACTGCAACTGTGCGAGTCATTGCAAACACATGGAAGAAAAAAATTCCTCCCATGGAAAACCGCAAATAACAGGTGAACTAACTATCGCAAGAAAAGGAAAAAAAAAAACTTCGGTGGTATGCCCTCCTGTTTTCTTGCAAGCGAAGCTGCAATGAGTCTTCTAGTGAAAAAATGAAAATTGATACGTCAGCAAGGACGGGGCCATGGCCAGTTATTTTTATTTTCATTTTTGAATGATTTTTTAAAAAACTTCAATACACTATGGAGTTTGAGCAATTTTGAGAATTTGTGTTTGAGAATTCTGAGAATTGTGAATTTGCATCCCACTCTCAATAACACAGTTGGGAAACGAAATTAAAAACTCGCATCCTTCTTTTTTTTTTTTTTTTTTTTTGCAGGGAGGCTTGCTTCAATCACGAGACGGAGACTAAAGGGGGGATTAAGGAGGGGGTGGATGGCAGGCTTGCTTCAATCACGAGACGGAGATTAAAGGGGGGAGAAAGGGGGGGTGGATGGGTGGTTAACCTGTTTAAGTAAGGGCCCTGAAGTACTTGCGAAATTTGATCTTGGTCAAAGGCAACGGGGAGAGTGAGTACACGAGGGCATAGAAGCAAATGATGCCCATTCTGTAACTTTTAACATTTCAATTTGCCACGTCCGATGAACTTCCTTCGCTCACAGCAAAGTAGGTGTTCACCCAGAAGATTATCGGTGATGCAAGGGAGGAGCGAGGATTCGCTTCTTGCCTGCGCGCCTTGCCGATCGACTCATCGGCTCTCTTTGATTTTCCAATTGATTGTTTTTGGTTCATTGATTGATTGATTGATCGATTAATTAATCAATTGATTGATTGATTGATTGATTGATTGATTGATCGATTAATTAATCAATTGATTGATTGATTGATTGATTGGATTGATTGGATTGATTGGATTGATTGGACTGATCGATTGTTGTTTGACTGATTGATTGGTTGGTTGATCAGTTGATTGGCTGATCGATCGACTGGATTGATTGATTTGATTGACTGATTTACACGTTGATTGATTGATTTGATTGACTGATTGACACGTTGATTGATTGATTTGATTGATTGAT